TCTAGGGCCATAGTCACTCCAGTCCCAAATTTTCTGGGCTTTTTCATTCACACTTTTTCTGATCATATCTGCTTTCCAGAGTATTTGTTAGACTGTTCTCTGATTTCAAGATTTCAATGAGGATTAATTGGGCAAGTGTCCTGGCTTTGGACAAACTGGGGGGAGAATCTCTGAATGAAATCCCTCCAGCAAGCAAATTTGAGCAGCCCCTCCCCCAACTGGTTTGGGAAAACATTTCCTTGGAGGAAAGTAAAAAAACCTGTTTATTTAATAAGTAAAGAATCTACAAGAGTAAAAAATGAATAATATTAAACAATTAATCCTCCCACTGTTCAAAGAGATGGCAAATCCAGGAAAGTCCTTTTCATGGGGTGTTTGAAAACTTGTTTTGCTCAGGTTCTTATCAGTCCCTCTGGTTCTGGAAAGTGAAGGCACCCAGGCCCTGGTGGGCCACAGGTGTGAGCTCCTGGGGTTTGGCTGGGTTTTCAGTCCAGAACAGGTTTGAACAGATCCAAGAAAAAGGAAAAAACACACAGTCCAGGGAACTTCTCTGCTAAAAGCTAACTGAAAGCAGAGGAGAGCTCTGTCCTGCTGTCTGTCCATGCTGCAGATAGCACAGGCTGGAGAAGTGTGCAGGGCAATGAGTGCTGCTTCTGAAAACAAACTGCGGCTACTTCTTCCTCCCTTCACTCTCAGAACCTTAAAGATGAAGAATCTTAAAGATCTCAGAGTCTTAAAGATACAGAATTTAACATCCAGCTTAAAAAGAATAGATGATACAAGCATCATAACATTACCCCAGGTCAGGTCTTCTGGGTGATATAGTGACCCTCAACATCCAGTAAAATCTGATATTCAGCAAATATTGAGGAAAGGTCTCTAAATTATAGATTACAAGAAAAATAACAAATAGGATATCAAATCCTGAAAGAGAAGTGGCGTGTATTTATTCATTATCAAGTTTTTTCTGCACAAAAATCCCTTTCATATATCAAAATTAATATCAATTTTCCCTGACTTCCTCTATCTCAATAAGAAACTTTGGAAATGCTGTAATTCCTCAGCTGCATTTAAAACATTTGATAAGCAACCTTTTTCATATACTGATGCACAATTTATATGCCTGAAACGTGCCTTTAACACAAATCAGAAGTGAAGGGATCAAGTAAGTTTCTGGTATAATTACAAGGCTTCCAAGTGAGCTAAAGTAAGATGAATTTCACTCGAGGCTTTATATTTAGCCTGGAAACAACCAGCCCAGGCATCTTGAATCAGACAGACCCAGCACACGTGCAAATGCTACAGCTGCCACCGTGATGCAGATGCTAATAATTCAGCGGCTTTGTACCCTGTGATTATGCATGTGCTGTCTAGTGGTTCAGATTAAAGAGTTAACCAAAGTGCTTCTCCCTCCTCTCTTGGCGGAAGATAATTCAAACCCATCTGATATTCACAGACAGTTGGGCAGCAGCTGAGGTTTCATTAGGAATCCCACGTATGGCCAGAAGCAACATACACCTCGGTGTTTCCGGGAGCCACAGGCAGCCAGAACAGATGGTAGGAATCATCATCCCAGACAGTCATCAGGGGAACCTCAGGCCACATGCTTGAATTTTTCTCAATGAAGTGCATAGGAGGCAGGCATTCGATCCATGTGACGGCAGCTGCCAGGTCCTGGGGGAGCTGGAGGCAGCGGAGTGGAGGAAGGCTCTCGCAGGTTATTAACAGGTCACGCTGTGACATTAGCAGGCCGGAAATATCGCCTCTCCCAGGGGGTTAAAACAAAGCAAGGGAGAGGTTCCTCGTAATTCAAACACAGTTCAGTGCTTACAGATTACAGCACATAATCTGCTTGGCAACAGCACAGCACACAGAGACGCTCTGCTATCTGACTTCCCTCTTTCTTCTAGCTGCTTCCACTAGAAATGTCAGAAGGAATCCTTGGTGCGGCAAATGTCCTATGCAAATCTCGAGAGAGGAAGGGCACAACTTCCCTGCAATTTTCAGAATGAAACCGGGAGGCAAGGCTGATAGTGACAGCTCAACTCCCTCATTCAGATGTCCCTAACCTTTTTGTTCCATTTGTGACATGCTATATGCAGCATTCCTCATTGATCATCACTGCCTGTCTGAATCACCCAGTCCCTTCTGTGAGCAGTGAGACTTGCTACGACTGTCAGCCTCATTAGAGGGAAAATTTCCTTGCTGACATTTTGGAGGAAACAAGGCATTTGGAGGAATAGTCTTAAAATATTGGGTTTGACAAAGTGGATGGTTTTAAAAATCATTGCCCCAGCCCTAAAATTGCCTACCTCTTCAGTCTCACCACAGGTCTCCTGTGCATAGCATCCACGCAAGGCAGCCTGAAGATGGAAACTCTCCAAACCCCAGGCCTGCTTTAAACCTTCTTTGCTGACAGGTCAGGACCATGGTGCTCAGCCAAGCACTCCAGAATTGCATCCTCGAGAGCACAGTAATATAAATATACATATGTTATGGGCTGGTGTGTGCAGAAATAAATGGGTGAGGATGTTTGTGTGCATGCACTTGTAAATACAAATAAAACTGCGCCATTCCCAGAAGCTACTTCCTTTCTGATTGCTAACACACTCTAAGTATAAAATGCAGTTTATCAGGATTCAAAGTGGACAGATTTTGAAATAATATATGTTTTAAGGTTTTTTGTTATTCTAAGTGAAGTATTTTACCAGTAACCTATCTTAGTTATTTATCTTCTTTGCTGGACTTTCTAATTTTAGGGAGTTTCACTGTTTCCTGCCTTGTAGAATAGACAGCCCCCACTCACACTTCTGATCTTTTTTTCCTGCTGTGCTGGGTATTGCATTTCCCACTCTCTTGCTTGCCTATTCATTCCTGGTAGCCCATATGTAGATAGATCTCAGCTAATGCCTTCAGCTTCTCCAATAAAATTCAGTTCACTGGACTGTAGGTTAGAATAAAAAAAATCTTTAGTCCTGTCCAAAGGATCCTTTGTATTCTTTGTGTTGTACAGGGAAACCATGAGTGTGGACTGTACAGTCCTTTACTACCTGACCAAGCAGCAGAAGCCTGGATTTCCCATGCAAACACTGAGCATTTGTCCAGAATTTCCAGGAGCCAGGAAGATTGGCTTGGAAGTGAGAGAAATGAAGATGCACTTGATACTGCAAACTGATTAGAGCATTCAGCAGCCTATTAAACCCTAGGAAAAGAGTCAGGAAACTGACTTAAGGCCATTCAGTCGCTGATCATCAATTTTTATTCCATCACCATGTATCCATTACCTTCCTAAAATATTTCTAATTTTACATGGAAAACCTTTAAATGGAATCCTCATTTTATGAAAAGATTTCCAGAGTCATAAATATTTTGTTGTTCCTTTTTAAGACTTGAAGTTTTATAAACAGGGAAAAAAAGCAATTACTCTTTTCGAGGGAACACTGCACCACTGACCTTTACAAGATGTGAAGATGTGCAGTTATGTCTATTTTCATTCTCTGATTCAAGCTGACAGCTCAGTTATTTGTCCACCCATTTCCTGGAGGTGATAGAGGCAATATTGGTCAATAATGTATCAATGGGAACTGATGTTTCCATGGAAATCAACAAGGCTGTCCAGCAAATTTTACTACTATGCCACAGCCTCTCATGCACGACAGTGCAGCATGTCTTTCCTACTAATATAAGCCAAATGGCCATGTTTTATTCCTAGAAGAACTCATACAAAATCAATAACAGCAAGGGTAAAAATCTTATCTTTGTAAATAGTACCCACATGAGGTTCTGAGCCCCACAAAGTGGTAAGAAAAATTGTAGTAATGAGGTTGATATGTTGAATCTCAGCAGAAATATGTGGCCACATACCATATATTAAGGTAATAGTCTGCACCAGTCCTGTGGCATTAGCACAATACAAACATCCTGGAGCAGAGTCACCACCAGCACATTCCCTTTGGCTCACTGTGGAGTATAAGGACAGGGCTTCACCAAAAATCTATGGGCTCATTTGCAGACAAGGCAGGGAGGATATTACAGCTTCTGGCAAGGCGATGAAAGATGCAAGGCTGAGAAGGAGCAAATTAGACCGCAGCAGAGAGAGCAACTATCTCAGAGCAAGCTTATGTTATTTTCTTACCCTGGCACAGTAGTTCAAAAAATCCTCGGAGTGTCAGAAAGAAGCAGGCTGAGAAAGGTGATGGGAGGATACTGGAGATGCAGCATTAATTCAGTGTGATCCGTCACTCAATCCCTGATTTACTGATTGCCGAACATAACCCTGCACTGTCAGAGAATACAAGTACACGGAAAGATTTAAGAAAAGTAAAGGTACATAAAAAGCATGCATGAGAAAGGCAAATACTCAGAAAATAGTAAGGACCAAGAATGACAAACAGAAAAAGAAGGGCAGAAATAAAGGCAAATATGCACAGAGCAAGCAGTGGACAGAGAGGATGGTAAAGACCTAAGTAAAAGTAGTGATTAAGAGAAAGGTTATCCCACAAATCTTTCTGCAGTTTTTTTCCATCTCTGAAGAAAGAATTCAGTTGTAACAATTATGTTTCCAGAAGGGAAATGAAGACCTGCTTTGACTAACAGCTATACAAAGTTCATAGTTGTAAATCATAGACTTCTCTTCTTATATTGATATCTTTCACAGCTGCTGCAAGAAAAATCTGAAAATGTAAATGACAAAACATCAAAATCTATCAAGCAAGTAAAAAAAAACTGAAAAAGATACTTTTTTTTTAATTTTAGTGAACTTTGGGTGGTGGCAACAGTGAAAATTCTATAACCTTGTCTTGTTATCACTATATCAACTGTGCCAGTTTTTCACATATGCAAATACTTGCGCATTACTGATTGCCTGATGTAGGAGCAAGAATAAAACTCAGTCCTTTGATGTCTTCTCTCAGTTTAAGATTACAGAGTTACCGTCAAGATTTAGTACAGCAGGATTTCCCTTTACAAATGGGTGCAGATTGCACCAATATTTCTTGTTGCCATTGAAATTCATTTCAGCGTAACCCAAATGTCAAGGAAAAACAGTTTCTGTATTTTTCTAATGCAGTGTCAACCTGAGATATTAATGGTGTCTGAAGAAAAATCGTGTTGCACTTCTGAAGGACCTCCCACACATATCTGTAAGTATTTTCTGTTATGAAAAAATAGCCATCTGAATAGGCCCAGCAAAGTTCCAAGTCAGAACTCAAATTAATATCTAAAAAAATACTCTTGGCAATACCAAATAGACTCAGTTGTTTTGTTGCATCTTTAAAAAGTATTACAAAGCACCAGGTAACTAGCTGTCCCATTGAACAGCTGGCTTTGACAGGAGATTGCTTTCCAGGAGAAGCGTTAGGTAGTTAAAGATATCATTCAAAATTCCCCTGGGATTATTTCTGTAGACTTAGAAAGCTATAAATGGGACCCCTGATTCTCCACTTCCTCACTCAGAGTTCACAGCAGACTTTAGTGTCAGAAGAAAATACTTCCCTGAAACAAACGAGGGCACATGCCACTTATTAAAGAATTAAAGGACTGCAATAGGTAAGTCTTTATAGACAAACACTGGGGACTCGATGAGTTCTAGCAAACAAGACAATACCAAAAAGTACTACATGTCTTTCTCTAATAAGTAAGCTGGGAACTTACCATAAATTATAGAACTACCTCAAAATAAAAGCAAGCAACTTGCTTTAATTGTTGCCCTTCTTCTTGCCAACAATAAAGTCTTTGAGACATGAACTATAATCAAACCCATCTTATGTGTCATATTACAGATTTTGATTAACTCAGCATAGAATCACTTCCTACTACACAACATCTTGTGCTACTGATTCTTCTGTCAAAATCATGGACTATGATACACCAAGGTCATGACTGTTGCTCTGAGTGTGCTCTGGTACTCTGGTGCAATGTCTCAGGAAAAAAAACAATGACATACTTTTTTTTTTCTCTCAGCTTGCAAGATTTCCACTGCAGCAACATAGACAGCTCCCAGTCGGAGCCAAAATACACCTTTAGCCTCAAACATCAGTCTTCCAGCAGCCTGAATGACACATAGCAAGGTAAGGAACATCACTTCAGTGGCTGCTCCCTCCCTCCCTCCCT